TATATATGTGTGTGTGTGTGTGTGTGTGTGTGTGTGTACATGTATGTAGGCTATGCATTTATTTTAATTAATTGAATAATATAAAACATAAATCTTAAACTCATTGTACTTTAGCTACTTGCCAAGGCAATCATTTTAATTTTGTTTAACTTGATGTACTAAAATAACTCAAATTAATACTTATATAAAAAATGTATATAAATATCTAGACATAAAAAAATAACAAAATATTACTAAAACTTTAACCAAATTTAAAATGGAAAATACAAAAAAAATAAACTAATTCAAAATGTATAGCTAAAAATAAATATATAAAAACCTCTTAATATCAATCAAAAATTCTCAAAGATACTAAAATAGCACTGGTTTGTTTTATTGCTACTGTACTTCTCTGCTTCACTACTTAATAGTATTTTAAAAACTTTATAATAATATATCATTTTAACATATACTGTATATAATATATTATTATTATATGAATATATAATAATAATTTTTTAAAAAACTATTTATATTCAGATTTCATTTTTCTCCTTTTCTTTACCGTTCAAAACAACAGTTTTAAATAAAAGTCAACATGTTGATATTTTCTTGATTGAAACTTTGCATATTGCTTTCGTGCTAATGCCAACAGCATTGAATCTATGAACTCGATTCAGATGTGTCTTGGTTGCAGTATTTCTTAAATCTTTCCAACCAATCTCTCTGCAGGAACTAATATCTGCAAGAACAACAACGGCGGCTGCCAGCAGCTGTGTCTTTACCGTGGTAACGGACAGCGAACGTGTGCATGCGCTCACGGAATGTTAGCCGAGGACGGTCAGAGTTGCCGTGACTACGACGGATACCTGCTGTACTCAGAACGCACGATACTAAAGAGCGTGCACTTATCAGACGAATACAACCTCAACGCTCCCATCAAACCGTTTGAAGATCCCGACCACATGAAGAGCGTCATCGCGCTAACGTTCGATTACCGCGGAGGCGGCGGAAAAGGAGCCAATCGGATCTTCTACAGCGACATCCACTTTGGAAATATTCAGCAGATCAATGACGACGGGTCAGACCGGAAGACCGTGGTCGAGAGTGAGTTTCCAATAATGATGTCTTTCTACCTTAATTCTCTATTATTTTCTCTAATCCTTTTTTTTGTTTTTTCTCGGCTAGATGTAGACTTGATGTACTAAAATAACTGGAACTAAAACTGACATAAAATTAATAAACGCAATATAGACAAATAATAAAAAAAGACAAAAACACACAACAGAATTCTTAGAATTTTAACCAAAATAAAAATGATAACGGAAAATATTAATTAATTCAAAATGTCCCTGGTAAAAAAGTAATATATTTACAATACATGAATTTCATAAGTATAGTTCAAATCTGTTAACACATATACTGTTAATATGTGTATTCTATAGTCTTACTGTATGAAATGTAAGATGACGTACAGGTCTGGGGGGCGGGGCCAGTGCGTTAACTGCGTTAAAATATTTTAATCACATTATTTGTTCATAACTAATTCACCAAGAGCTTGTAACACGCCAAAGAGAAAGGAAAATTTGAAATTGCATCATATGACCCCTTTAAGTAAATGCGTTAAACTGACAGCCCTATTATATACATAATATTAATTAAAAACTGTTATAGTATCTTAATAGGAATTCAAATTTGTTTGTGGTACAGACATCAACGATATCTCAGATTGTTGAAAATAAAAAGATGGTAGAGTCTGTCATAGAGTTTATGTATAGTTATTTTGCAGTCCCAAAAACAAGTCCATGTGTTTGAATATGGAGTAGTGTTTTGTAGAGGTTTGATTGCAGCACCAACTCTCCATCACCAGCTCACAGCTGGAGAGAAAACAGCGCAAAGCCAGTGGACACATAATCAAACCGGACTGGGAAGTCTGAAGTCACGGCCAGTTCCTTTGTGAGAGCACAATAAACGCATTCTTTCATAAGACATTTGGTTCTCACAGCAGGAGAACTGAGCAAAGGAAGATGTGCGTATCTGTTTATTCTTCTGTTGCCACAAACACCATATGAATGAAGGATAATTATGATAATTGCAAACTCTCGACCAAAATGCCTCCTGAGAGAATGTTGGCTTCCTTGTGCTGAAGTGAAAAAGTTGGTCTGTCTGAAACAACAATCAAAACCAGATTCGCTATACATCCTTTCGTTTGATTTACTCTTATTTTAGGCAGAAATAATGTGGTTTTGAACAATAGTGTTTGGTTTTTATAGATTTTATTACGGTGGCCGAGAAGTGCAAAAGACAAATCACAATTCTGAAAACAAAATAACAAATTACAAACGCAAATGCAAGTCTAAAAACTAAATAACAATTCAGAAAGCACAACAACAATTCAGAAAACATTATAACAAGTCAGAAAACACAATGACAAATTCGAAAACAAAATAACAAGTCAGTATAATGTTTTCTGAATTGTTGTTGTGTTTTCTGAATTATTTTGTTTTTTAGACTTGCATTTGCGTTTGTAATTTGTAATTTTTTTTTCAGAATTGTGATTTGTTCTGCACTTCTCTGCCACCGTATTTTATAGATACTGCCCTGTACAAATATACTGTATTATCCATTAGTTTTTACTTTTATGTAGCAAATTTATACATTCAGTTAATACTTTGTTTAGATATAACGTAGTCATGTAGTATTTATTTACTAGTTTAATCCAGCAAACTTATAAGACAAATGATCTACTTGCCAACATATTTTTTCTGTAAAGGTGGGCTTTTTGTTTTTTTGCAGTAAAGCTCTTTCTGTCATTTACAATATGTATTCTTTTTGGCTTTTTATATATGTTAAATGCTTTTTTGTTTTCTTACCATGTGGTTTTTATTACACTGGTTATGAACCAGTTATGTAATTCAAGCCAGGCGTAAATCTAGCGATTTAAAAAAACAAAACATTTCAGTTCTTACATCCTACACATCTGTCTTTGAACCGTCATCAGTAATGAATGAACAAACAAAAACCCCCCCCCCCCCAGTTTTTCAGGGTTGTTTTGGCCAGATATAATTGACTCATGACTAACACGCGTATTTAGTTGTGCTCTGTTTTTGTTATTTTTATTTGTTAAAGGGGTAGTTCACCCCCAAATGAAATCTGTCACCATATACTCTCCCCAACGTTGTTTTAACCCTGTTTGACTGACTTTCTTCTGTGAAACATGAAAATAGAAATTCTGAAGAATGTCCATGCTGCTCTTGTGCTTACAGTGAAAGAAGGTGACTGCTGATCACCAAAACTGACACAAATATTGCCTTAATTAGTGCATTAAAATCAAGTCATAGTCCATATGATTTATTATGCTTTTTTCTACTTTGTGCATCACCAAGACACATGAGAATCAATGATATTTGAGATTAATCAGATGTATATGCAGCACTGATATTACAACTTGCTAGACTGAACGTGAAATCACATTGTGAATGCGCTATTCTTGTAACAACACATTAAACACGTGCAATAAATACCTAAAGCATAAAGAATTGACAGTATTGTTTGCACACATACTGTAGTAGTATTTGTATTTCAGAAAAGCAGGTTTCCACAACAAAAGCAGTCTTCGTGGTTTTTGTTGATATGCCTAGATGTTTAAATTATATAAACATTATCTAAAATATGTGAACATTTAGTTTCATTTTGCAGTTTTCTGTCAACATAAATGCTGTTGACTAATATTTAGTGCCGTTTGAGACAGAGTAAAACTGACTAAAATGAATAAGAAATATTAATTCAATTTAAAGGCTATTTCCTTCAAAAGCTTAAGAGTAATACATTTATAATGGAAAATCTTTTGATTTTATTTTATAATCTTTAGTTCAAATGGAAGTAAGAAAAACAAAAAACTTTGTTAACAGCCAGATAAAGGCTTTGTAATAAACAAAATAATGTTTACCTAGAATTCTATTATAATTACATTTTATATTCTCTCTCTCTCTCTCACTCTAAAATGTGTAAATATATGTTTCCAAAGTCAAGTTAAATAATCACAATTTCAATACTGACTAAGCAGACCAACCGAGCAGCTCAATGGCCTGTGACAAATTCCATGATAAATTTTGTCTAGAATTTCTAAAATCTTTTTTTTTAACTATGTTTTCCCCATATGTTTCTGTCTGCAGATGTTGGGTCAGTGGAGGGGTTGGCGTATCATCGGGCCTGGGACACTTTATTCTGGACCAGTTACACCACATCCACCATCACCCGTCACAGTGTGGACCAGAGCCGCTGGGGGGCTTTCGACCGGGACTCTGTGGTCACCATGTCAGGAGACGACCACCCACGGGCGTTCGTCCTGGATGAATGTCAGAAGTGAGCTTTTCATTTCACAACAAACTCATTATTTCAACATTCAAAACAGTGTAATATTCACATTCACTAACTATTCCCTTTTGGAAGGGATGTCATGTTGCTTTCAGGATGCCAGTACTGATATCATATCACACTCAATGTTTGCCATCGACTCACATTCCTCTGCTTTTGCCCAGCTTGATGTTTTGGACCAACTGGAATGAGCAGTCACCCAGTATCATGCGCGCCCAGCTGTCCGGAGCCAATGTCCTGGTGATTATCGGCAGTGACGTCCGCACTCCCAATGGACTCGCCATCGACCATCGTGCCGAGAAGCTCTATTTCTCGGATGCTACGCTTGATAAGATTGAGCGCTGCGAGTATGACGGCTCCCACCGTTATGTAAGTCTGAACTTGCACCCATGAGTGTCCGTTTTGCTTAACTTGCACTGTGACTACAACAAGTCAAATACCAATGCGTCCAGAGCAGCCGCAATCATGATGTGCAGTAAGACATTTCATTGTATTTTAGTAGCTTAGTGAAATCTCACTAGTCCAAAAACTTAGCTGTACAGCAATAATAATAATAATAATAATTTTCAGTAAATGATGGCTTAATTTTCACTTTTGGGTGAATTAGGGGGAATAGCTGTAATAGTTTTAGTTTAATTGTGCAGGGCCATCTTGAATTTAGGAGCATTTTAGTGGCATTTTTGTCACATCATATAAACATCACACATATTCTGATTGGCAGGGCCCTAAATAGGTGTTTTCCCCAACTACTGCATAATTCCAGCCAAAAAGTTCAGAAGTAGTTCATTTATTCTCAAATGGAAAAATCAAAATGGTAGAGAACTTTTAACATTTCAACAAACCAAATGGTTCCTTTCTGTCTGTTTTGGCGTCTGTAGGTGGTTTTGAAGAATGAGCCAGTGCATCCTTTCGGTTTGGCTGTGTACGGTGACCACATCTTCTGGACAGACTGGGTGCGCAGAGCCGTCCTCAGAGCCGACAAATATGTTGGTGGAGACATGAAGGTGTTAAGAGCTGATATTCCACAACAGCCAATGGGGATCGTCGCTGTGGCCAATGATACAAATAGCTGTGAGTGAACGGCCGTAATGGCAGCATGGTCAAGAGTACTGTAAATCAACTGTGTGAGAGAGCGATTGCCTTACAGTGTCCTGTCATCTCAACCATGTAATTATGTGCCAAAAGTAATCTGTGATTGCCACAGAACCGAGAAGAACTCTATAACGCTTGGGAGTAACACAATCAATATCTTTCATCATGCTTATCTAAGTGTGATAGAAGCAATTCTCAAGCACTCAAACCCCCAAAGACAGCATCTCTGCCTGCTCTGAAGCCCCCGATTACTGTCCTCCCAACTAAAACTTTAACCCAAACAAAACCCAACAAATAGCCAATAGCAGCTAGATTTGAAGAAACTAAACTTTTTTTTTTTTACAATTAAATACCCTGTTTTACTTGGAAATCTGAAGTAAAAGTAAAACCTTTTATCCTCAAATGATCATATCCTGGAAAACTGGATTTGTCTCAATCTTTTGAAATAAAAATTTGACTTCCTGTGTTGACCATCTATCCATCCATCTATCTATCTATCTATCTATCTATCTATCTATCTATCTATCTATCTATCTATCTATCTATCTATCTATCTATCTATCTATCTATCTATCTATCTATCTATCTATCTATCTATCTGTCTGTCTGTCTGTCTGTCTATCTATCTGTTTATCTGTCTGTCTGTCTGTCTGTCTGTTTGTCTAAACTATATTTAGAATGCATTAAGTGACAGTAAAGACATTTACAGTGTTGCAAAAGATTTATATTCATCAAAATTTATCTCAAACCAGTTTTTATAGTTTATATTTAAATCTAGTAGTTTAGTTCGTTAATTTGGGAATGAATCTATTATGAATTATGTGTTTAATAACTAAATGATTTTAACGTAGAGCCCTGAATTAAGCTCACCAGTTCACAATCTATTTACTGTAATGCATAAAAAATAGAACAGTTATATACATTTTAAAATGAATTAAATACATGGTACAATTGTTCTGTCATTTATGATGATTTAAATAAAAGGAATTACAGCAAAATGTAATAATACATATCTTTTTGGTGAAATGTGACGAGACCTTTTTTTACATTATAGATAGACTTCTGCAGCTTGGCTATGTAGTAACTTTCATCTGCATACCACTGTGAGAACTACTGTTTGAGTGTTTACATCTGTGTGCTGTGAATTGGAAATAATTGTCTGTAAATTTGTGTGCAAGTGGGTAGTGAATGTTAAGTGGGTTATTTGTATCTGTTTGTGTTTCATGAAGGGCTGCATAACGAGTACACATAATGCTCCTTGTGACTTCTGGGGATGATAAATTCCTGTGTGTGTGTGTGTGTGTGTGTGTGCGCGCAGGTGAGTTCTCGCCCTGTCGGGTGAATAATGGAGGCTGTCAGGATCTGTGTCTGCTCACATCAGACGGACGGGTCAACTGTAGCTGCCGCGGAGAGAGGAAACTGCTGGATGACAACACCTGCATAGGTGAGACACCACCAACCAATCACAGACTTCATACAATATATATCTGCATATGCAAGTATTTTCGTTAAGCAGTGTTCACAGTTAACTGATCGTATGGAGATGAAAAGAGTCTCAAAGCAGCTTTAAACAGAGGCAGGTTTGAATGTTCCTGCTCAAAAGTACAGTGACAATAGCGAGTAAATTACATCACTAGCCGGGTTTCCATCCAAAGTTGCGAATTTAACTTGTGCGCAAAACTGGAATATCGCATAAAACATTTGTGAACAAGCATCGTTTCCATATAATAATAAATGACTTGCGCCTCAGAGCGAGCAGACGAAACATAATGAATGCTGTCATTGCTTTCGGAGGTGGATGCTGCTGTTTGGGAAACGCAGTCGTGTAAGACATTTCTGGGAGGCAATTATATAGAAATACTTTGATGAAAGACTTTGCTCTTGCATTTCCGAATGACCATAACAACATTTCAGATGCTGTGGAATGAGTTCGGTCTGCTGGTTAGTTGGGATTTGCCATCCCATAGTGCAAAGTCACATTAATTTTTTAATGCGCTTGGAGGAATTTATTTGCAAAATGCATTTCCATCTCCCATTATTCGCATCAACCCTTTTTCGCACAAGTCAAAAATCACCTCAAGCGAGCGTAAAAACTTTTTTTGCAAATTAAGGGATTTTTATTCTAAATTTGGCGTTTCCATCTCTCGTTTCTCATGTGATACTTCAAAATGCGCATTAAAATAGGGAGATGGAAACATAGCTACTGATATGAACCAAGACTGAAAATCTCATTCATCTCTGGGTGATCTGGTGGAATAAACACTCTTATTACTTTTGCTACCTTAAAGGGATAGTTCACAAAATGGAAATTGTCATATTTGAATTGTCGTATTGCAAAAACTAGGGCTGCTTCAGACTAAAGATTTTTCTAGTCGACCCTTGACAGTTTTGAATCATGGTGTATTACTCTGTAACTGCAAAAATGACGGTGTATTTTAAGTTGTTTTCTCTGTTATCAGGAAGAAAATGCTTCCATGTCATGCAGTAGCGCACTGATAGCTTGGATATGCGCCTAATAGCACACATTTATCCAGGCTGATGTTAGAGCAGACGGCCGTGTAAAGTTGCTACTACTTGCGTGTTTCAACAGTAAGCTATATTTGAGGTCAATGAATGATTTCCTGCCTGATATGCTGTAATTACCTCAAGGACCAGCTGTTAACCATCTGTCCATCGTGGACACAAACAGGTTTTTTCTGCGACTAACCAATATAATTTTAGTCGAAGCAGCCCCAGTTAAAAGTTTTGTTCATCTTTGAAACACAAGTTAAGGTACTTTTACTTATAATTTTAGTTTGGTCTTTTATTCACACTGATCGATGTGCAGACAAAGGGCACACAGAAGCTCGGACGTGTTTGCTCTTTCTTACCGATTGTTGAAAACCCTTCGCCGCCACTCAGAAAAATATCTCAAATAAAATTTTATTGTGTTTATATCCTAAAGCTGCTACTAATCTAAAACAATATATCAGTGGACCAGGGTAAACACTGTCTTTGGACAAAATATCACTACATGGCTGTACATGAGGAGGTTGTGATCAACATGCTACAAGCAGGAATATATAGTGGCTTGCACTACAGTATGTTAATAGCTGCTATCTTGTGTCTCTCAGCTCAGAACACGTCGTGCAGCAGTATGGATGACTTTGAGTGTGGGAATGGAGACTGCATCAAATACACGCTCACCTGTGATGGCATGGCCCACTGCAAAGACAAGTCAGATGAGAAGCAGTCCTACTGCAGTGAGTGTGTGTGAGATATTCTGAATGTTCATGGCGGTTCTGAAGGCCTGCCACTCTTATCGGTCTGTGTTTGTGTCCAGCTAACCGCGTGTGTAAGAAGGGCTATAAGCGCTGTGTGAACGGACGCTGTGTCGGCCACAGTTCCTGGTGTAACATGAGAGATGATTGTGGGGATAACTCCGATGAACTCTTCTGTAATGGTAAGTCCATCTGTTCATACACATTATATTAGGCTGCAGCCAAATCTTCAAATCCAGCCTGTAGGCCCCTTTGAATTCTATAGATTTCAAATGTTCTGATGTTGTCAGTTTGGTTCCCCCTCGAGGGAACTCACACTGCGTCGGTAACGACACTTTGGGGAACCCCCTCAGCGTAGCGCGTCTGAAGCATAAATGAAACTATTCCAATCCTGATTGGTGTTGCGTCATGTCGTAACATGTGACGGCATAGTCGGAAGCTACAAAGGGACGCCGGCACACAACAGAGTCAGCTTTTTGCTCTTCAGCAAGCGCTCTGTTTCATTGTGTGTCTTATTTGGTGTTATTTGTCACAAGCATATATATTATCATGGCGAGTGACAGTTTAAGCGGTGTGTTCATCCCTGCCCGAGGTTTTTAATGAGTGGGGACACACATCAGCTGTGTGTTTATTGTTTGGGAGCGCAGCACGCACGGGCAGCTCTCGAGGGAGCTGCCTGTGCGGACTATGAAGCATTGCCGATCAGAGGGCTGCGCTCCCGCCTGGCTGTATTTGATGAGGCCGGCCAGGCTCGCGCACCTCGCGGTTCGGGTCGGCGACTTGGCGGCTTAGATCGTGGGGCTCGCAGATTGGATTTGTCAGGAGGGCTCGAGACTGCTGTGGCACATTCTCAGTCCTCGTCTGACACTTCCAATGTTCTCACTCCCCATGCGGAAGCCCGCGCAGCGGCTTCTTCCACACGGGAGGAGAAATCGATGTTTGAGCTGTCTGATTCTGAGGAATTAGACGTGCTCAGCATCGAGGCAGGTGAAATTGCATAGAGCTCGCCACTGCATTCACATGCACATGAGGAGCTGGTCGATGTGTTGACTCGTGCTGTGGCCAAACTTAATATTAACTGGCCTCAAGAAAGGCAGGAACTGCAAGTGACAAGTAAATTGGATGAGCACATCCTGCAGCACAGGTCTCAGCCTCAATGCCGGGGTTTACCATTTTTTCCTGACTTACACAATGAGTTGTGTAAGTCATGGAATAAACCGTACTCCGCACGACTGTCTAACCTTCCTGTGTTAAATTTTAGTAACATCTTAGGAGCATGTGAGTACGGTTATGGGACGATGCCTCAGGTGGAAGAGGCTTTAGCCAGCTACCTCTCCCCTGATGTTGCGTCGTCCCTTAAAGAGACGAGACATTTGTGGCTAAACTTATTGGGGATGAAGGAAAAGGACAGGGCCTTTCTCCTAAATGCCCCGATATTGCCTTCTGGCCTGTTTGGCGATGCAGTCAATATGGTTGTCGACAGGTTTCAGGAGGCGAAAAAGCAGTTTGCGGCTTTTAAGCAGTATCTCCCTCACCGCTCTAAATCTAAGAAGGCTGCTCCGAGTGGACGGCCCCAGCCGTCATCAAGCTCCTCGTACCGGCAGGTACAAAATGAGAGTGTCGCTTCTAGAGCCCTTGGCAACAGAGGCGACGCTCTCGCCCAAAGCCCGCCGAGCCAAAGGTCGATTTGAGGACCGTCCTTCAGGCAAGAAAGGCTACGGGAAAAAGGTCCTAGCTTTCGCAGGGCTTCTGAGGGTTGCCCCCCACCCTGGGCTGGAGCGATCAAGGTCGTGTCCACCTCGGAACCCTCAGGAAATGCTGCATGCTGCAGTGTCCGCCCCGAGGGCTTGCGGCCTGGCAGTGACAGCGTCCGCAAATAGAAAATAGTTTTTGATCTTTTCCTGCCGGTGTTCTGCTTCAGGGGATCATAAACGAAACTCGAAGAACACCCGAGGTCAGCCTCGAGAGGCTAATTCCCTTTGTAGATTATATCAGTGCATGGCAATGCCTTCCGAATATATCTCCATGGGTCTGTAAAGTAGAAAGAGGGTACAGGCTGCAGTTCAGTTACCGCCCCCCGAAGTTCAATGGGGTGGTCTGGACTGTGGTGCACCCCGAGCAGGGTCGGGTGATGGAACAGGAAGTTCACTCCACAGGGAGTCCGGGTTCTACAGCCGGTATTTCATAGTTCCCAAGAAGGATGGGGGGTTGCGTCCAATTTTAGATCTGCGGCACTTGAATCATTCTCTGAGGAGATTCAGGTTCAAGATGCTCACTATTCCCACGATCGTGAGTCAAATCAGATACGAGGACTGGTTTGTCACGATAGATCTAAAGGACATATACTTCCATGTTTCTATCATTCCTTCTCACAGGAAGTTCCTGAGGTTCGCTTCCTGGGGCGAAGCGTTCCAGTATCGGGTTCTTCCGTTCGGCCTAGCTCTCTCCCCTCGCACTTTCACCAAGTGCATGGATGCAACTCTAGTGCCACTGAGGCTTCAGGGCATCCATATGCTGAAATATATCGACGACTGGCTTACACTGGCCCAGTCTCGAGAGATGGCGGTTCGGCATCGAGATGTCATCCTTGGACACATTCAGAGCTTGGTGTTGAGACTCAACACGAAAAAGTCGCCCACAAAGAGAACCACGTTCCTGGGGGTGGTATGGGACTCGGCAACGATGCGGGCACAATTCTCCCGCTCATATCGAGTCCATCCTGGCAATGGTTTCCAGGATAGGACTAGGCCACGCTATCACTGTAAAGCTGTTCCAAAGACTGCTGGGGCTCATGGCAGCAGCGTCCAACATAATACCTTTTGACTTTCTGTACATGAGACCCCTACAATGGTGGTTGAAAACCAAGGGGTTTTCCTCGAGAGGGAATCCATTCCGTATGATCAGGGTCACGCGCCGATGCCTTTGTGCCCTGTCCATATGGAGGAAACCTTGGTTTCTGTCCCAAGGCCCAGTATTGGGAGTGTCATGTCGCCGAAAGGTCGTTTCGATAGACTCATCCCTTACGGGTTGGGGCGCGGTCATGGACGGCCACTTTGCGAGAGGTCTGTGGCAGGCCCAGCATTCCTCATGGCACATAAATTGCCTAGAAATGCTAGCGATTTACAAGGCTCTGAGGAGCTTTCTCTGAGATCTCAGCGGTCACCATGTCCTAATACGAGCAGACAATATGTCAGTGGTCTTGTATTTTAATCATCAGGGGGTCTGAGGTCGCGCCCTCTGTGCAGACTGACACATCAGATCCTCCTGTGGTCCAAGGAGAAACTGTCGTCTCTCAGAGCAATGTATGTCCCTGGGGACCAGAATCAGGGAGCAGACGTCCTGTCGAGGCAGTGGTTGAGGCCCGGGGAATGGAGACTTCACCCCAAGGTGGTGAAGTCGATATGCGAGAGGTTCGGCCCAGTAAAAGTGGACTTGTTCGCATCTTGAGAGACGACCCACTGTCCACTGTGGTTTTCTCTAACGCATCCAGCCCCACTGGGGTTGGACGCCATGGTACAGACATGGCCGAGGCTACGCCTGTACACTTTTCTCCAGAGGCTGGCTTGACGGCTGGACTGATCAAGACCATACTCAGTTCCAGGGCTCCCTCCACGAGGAGATTGTACAACCTAAAGTGGAATGTGTTTTCCACATGGTGTAGAGAGTGTGGGTTGGACCCAGTTAACTGCCCAGTGCTGGAGTTCCTCCAAGATTGCTTCTCTGCTGGTCTTACCCCGTCCACACTAAAGGTGTATGTGGCTGCCATTGTGGCTTTCCATGCTCCTTTAGGTGTTGGGCCTCCGGGGAGGCACCAGCTGGTCGTGCGTTTCCTCCGTGGTGAATGGAGGATGAGGCCTACGACTCATTCCAGAGTCCCAACTTGAGATCTGGCTGTGGTTCTTGAAGGGCTGTCACTTGCCCCCTTCGAGCCTCTCGAGTCGGCTATGGCAAATATCCTGACCTTTAAGATGGTCTTTCTCGTAGCAATTACTTCGCTCAAGAGAGTGGGGGATCTCCAGGCCATGACTATCTCGCCGACTTGCCTGGAATTTGCCCTTGGAGGAGTTAAGACCATTTTACACCCTAGACCTGGCTATGTGACCAAGGTGCCATCTAATATGGTACAGACCGTGGTTCTTCAGGCCTTCCATCCTCCGTCTCATGTGTCGGCGGAAGAAGAGAGTCTTCATCTGCTCTGCCCTGTCAGAGCATTGAACATCTTTATTCAGAAGTCCTCTCATTGGAGGAGGTCAGAACAGTTGTTGGTGTGCTTTGGATCACCCAAGAAGGGACTTCCTGCTTCCAAGCAGACAATTAGTAATTGGATTGTTCAGGCTATTGCCTTGGCCTATCAGGTACGCGGTTTGCCTTCACCTGTGGCCTTGAGGGCCCACTCTACTAGAGGCATGGCGTCCTCTAGTGTCCTCCTGTCAGGAGTCCCGTTTCAGGAGATCTGCGATGCGGCTGGGTGGTCCACCCCGCATACTTTTTTCAAGTTTTATAGCCTGAACCTTCCCTCCACTCCGGGTGCACGTGTGCTCTCGTCCTAAGTTGTGCCTGGTTCAGCTTCACACTAGGACAGGCATGTTTTGGTGTGGCATAGTGGGTATCTGTTCCCCAAAGTGTTGTTACCGATGCAGAGTGAGTTCCCTCGAGGGGGAACATCTCAGGTTATGACTGTAACCCTTGTTCCCTGAGAAAGGGAACGATACACTGCGTCTCTTTGCCATACCTCTCCATGCCTTTGTAGCTTCCTACTATGGGATTGGAATCAGGATTGGAATAGTTTCATTCATGCTTCAAACGCGCTACACTAAGGGGGTTGCCCAAAGTGTCGTTACACTTTACTTGAAAGGGTGTGCATAAGACTGACATGACACCTTCATAATCATGACATGACACCTACATAATATGAAGGTTTTTTATGCATGTTTATGACAACTGTCATTAAGTGTCATTCGCTCAGTTATTTAATTTTTAATGCAAAGATGACATTGTTTGAGATGTCTTTGTTATGGTCTATGGTTAGGGGTAAGGGTAGGGGTAGGGTTAGGTTAGGGTTAGGTCAAATAATGTCATATTTGCATTAAAAATGACATAACTGAGCGAATTACACTTAATGACAGTTGTCATAAACATGCATAAACCCTGTCTTATGCACACCCCTTCAAGTAAAGTGTTACCATGTTTTCTTATTTATTGTTATTATTAGTAGTAGTAATAATAGTAGTATTTATTTCTTTAGCACATGATTTTGTGAGTTTATGCATTTTTTGTACTGTATGTGTTCCAGCAACCCTGTGCACGGCGGATCAGTTTCAGTGCAGAGACAAATCATGTGTGTCAAACTCCAGTCGCTGTAACCAGGTGCTGGACTGTGAGGACGCCAGCGATGAAATGAACTGCTGTAAGTTTGTTCATTAAATCCTCATGAAATCAAAATTTACAATATGTATTTTGTTAGTGCACATTGTTAGTTTTAAAGGCACAATATGTACATTTCCGTCGCTAGAGGGCACATATTCAAAACAAACAAGAAACAAAGGCGTAGTTTGATGACGCCGTGACTGAGTGTGGAATCATGGGAGTTGTCGTTTTCATTCCCATAGCCAATGCAATCCGATGGGACTCGGGCAGAAATCATGTTCATGGATGAGCTAATGTATTAAAGACTTATTAAGGTCACTGTAGTATGAAGCAGGGTGGGACTAAAAGTTATGGAAGCGAAACAAGACCGCTGGAGCGATCGCTAATGAAGGACGAGTGCGATACACGGCTCGATAGCAGCAGAACTTTTATTATGCCACAGTCGACCGCTTCTGCTTCTTCCGGTCATGCATATGTGGGGTAAAACAGCGCTGTTTTATTCTAGATAAATGTGAGTGTATCGAAAGTTCCATTATAATGCTACTCTGTGCGTTTGTCCCGTCTAATAAAATGCATAACATATTAAAGTGTCTTTGGGGTTTCCGTGTTTTCAACAAAATAAAAGCGGAAAAATTGAGGGGTTATGACCAGTGCTTAATTTGTAAATGAAGCATTGCCGGATCCAAATCAGCAGTTAAAAGACGCTGTGACCGACTCTGACAATACAACTTCAGTTTTCCCGGAACATTCAATGACGTCACTAAACGGTGATGACACAACTATAAGAGCATCCTTCACAAGTTTCTGCATGGACCTAACTATACAGCCTAGGTTTTCAAACCCTGTGTCAAAAATGGGTTGCCAGGATGATTAAGGCAAATATATGTAAGTTAGGCTACATTCAAAATAATTTTTTTTCCATAAAAATAAAATACAATCATAATCTGTAAAGAAAAGGTATAAATATGCGAAATAGGCCTATATCTGACATAAATAATTAACAGATATAAAACAGATGTGAGGCGCGGCGATCCGCTAACAATTTCACGGAAAGGAAACCGAGAACCGAGATGACAGAACGCGCATCCTGTTTGTTTGCTTAGTTACAAAAACACGAAATGTTCTTTTTATTGCGAGTGTGCAAAAATAAAAGTAAACATTTACATTTAGTCATTTAGCAGACGCTTTTATCCAAAGCGACTCACAAATTAGGACAATGGAAGCAATCAAAACCAACAAAAGAGCAATGATATGCAAGTGCTAGCCTATAACAAGTCTCAGCTTAACATAGTACACATAGCAAGGTTTTTTATTTATTTTATAGGCCTAATAAATAAAAAGAAAACAGATCGAATAGAAAAAGAATGGAGCAAGCTATAGTGTTAGAGGCCTTTTTTGCTTTTGTTAATTGTATAATAAATAAAAAGAAAATAAATAGATAGAATACAAAAAGAATAGAGAAGCTAGTATTAGTTTTTTTTATTACTTTTTTTTAACACTTTTAAAAGTTTCAACTCGAGGAGAAGGACTGCTGAATAAATTATGTTACGGTTTTCTTTGCGCGCAAAAAGTATTCTCGTAGCTTCGTAAAAATTATAGTTGAACCCCTGATGTCACATGGACTGTTTTACTGATGTCCTTGCTACGTTTCTGTGCGTTGATCGTGTTAGGATACTTGCTGTCTATGGGAGGGTCAGAGAGCTCTCAGAAAGCATAAAAAATATCTTAAATTCTGTTCGGAAGATGAACGGAGGTCTTAGGGGTTTGAAACGACATGAGGGCGAGTAATTAATGACAGAATTTTCATTTTTGGGTGAACTATCCCTTTAAGCATTTGTCATATATGTTTTGTTTTTCAGCGGCCTCCGATTGTTCCAATTATTTCCGTCTGGGTGTGAAAGGCGGGACCTATCAGCGGTGTGAGTTCACTACGCTGTGTTACGCTCCATCATGGGTCTGTGACGGCGCAAACGACTGTGGAGACTATTCAGATGAGAGAAACTGCCCAGGTGAGCACACGCATACTTCAGCCATGAGCTGCATTTCAGACCCTGTGAAACTGACGTCTTTCCTGGTCCTTTTTTTCTGTCTTTTCCTTTTAAAGTAATGAAACTAAAACCTTTTTTTTTCAATTAGGTATATGTACAGTAGACTTAAGAGAGAATTTAAACGAACAAAACAGCCTTTAAACCTCTAAGCACTTCTCTCTTGTTTCTTTTCACTCATCAGATAAGAAAAAGAGAAAGTGTCCATCAAACTTCTTTTCTTGTCCCAACGGTCGCTGTATCCCAATGAGATGGACCTGCGACAAGGAGAACGACTGTGAGAACGGAGACGACGAGGCACACTGTGGTGAGTTTGTGTTTCTGTCATCGACTTCTGCTGTGGTTATACCGACCCCTAGCAATACACTACCTCTTATTTTTGCCATTTTTTATTATTTAGACATTATTAATAAACATACAGTATGTGACCCTGGACCACAAAACCAGTCATAAGGATATATTTTTCAAAATTGAGATTTATACATCATCTGAAAGCTTAATACGCTGATAAGCTTTCAATTGATGTATGGTTTGTTATGATAGGACAATATTTGGCTGAGATACAACTATTAGAAAATCTGGAATCTGAGGGTGCAAAAAAATCTAAATATTGAGAAAATCATCTTTAAAGTTGTCCAAATGAAGTTCTTAGCAATGCATATTATTAATCAAAAATTAAGTTTTGATATATTTACAGCAGGAAATTTACTAAATATCTTCATGGAACATGATCTTTACTTAATATCCTAATAATTTTTGGCATAAAAGAAAAATCTATAATTTTGACCCATACAATGTATTGTTGGCTATTGCTACAAATATACCCCAGCGACTTAAGACTGCTTTTGTGCTGCAGGGACACATATAGTATGTTTATTAAGCACGTTTTCCTCATAGAAGTTTGGCTACTCCTTAAATTTGGTATTTAAAATGGGGACATACTGTGGATTTTATTGTTTTTATATAAAGCTGAATAAAATTGACTTATCTTAACCTACAACCTAAAAAAACTAACTAGGATAAAAAAAAATACATTTTTAGGATTAAAAACATTCTTTATTTATAAATGGACAAACAGCAGGAAGTGATTAAAATTGCAATTGTATTAATTAAAAACAGCATCAAATAGTAAATTTTAAAGCGTAAAGAATAGTGTGAATAAAGAATCACAGATAGTAGGAACATAGATTCAGACACAAGGAAAACCAGAATCCAAATGCATGAAGTTTAATAATAATAATAATAATAATAATAATAAAAACAAAATACAGAAACCAAGAAAACGGAACTATACTTAACTACTATGTATGTATTCTTTTATTATATGCCTTGATAAGCTTTCTTTGAAGACGTTATATAAAATAAATTTTTTTGGTCACTCTTTAGTTTGGGGATCAATTCTGACTATGAAATAACTATTAACTACAGCTTTTGCCACAATAAACTCCTAATTTGCATTTTTTAAAATATTTAGTAAGGCCATGTCCACACGTACACGGGTATTTTTATAAACTGAGTTTTTCCTTCTTCCGTTTAAAAAAAAATCTCCGACCACATGAAAACGCAAAAGCATGCTATGAAGCACTGTCAAGAGCATGCCAAGCCAACAGGTGGCGATATAATCTCAACCATGAAGCCATGTTGTCCAATCAGAAGCCTGAAAAAGTTTCCAGTAGGTGGAGTGTTATAGGTCTACACGATAACACTGCAACCGGAGTTTTTGAAAATCGTCACGCTGGCAGGTGTTTTCAAAAATGTTTCAGTTTCAGTGAACTGGTGCTGCGTTTGCGTGTGGACGCACGGCCTAACCGCGTAGAAAAAGTTGCGGTTTTAAAAATAACCGCGTTCGTGGGGACAGGGCCTAAGATAGTTGTTGCGTTTATGGTATGGTATGGTGTAGGATTAAGGGATTTAAAATATGCTCATGCAGAATAAGGCATTAATATCTGCTTTATAAGTACTAATAAACAGCAATTATGCTAGTAATATGCATGCTAATAATCAACAAGTTTATAGTGAGAACTGGTCCCTAAACCAAAGTGTTACCAAACTATTCTTTATTAATAGTAGTATTATTATTTTTAAACATAAACTGAACTAAATACAACTCAAGAGTAAACATGATGCAAGTCATCGTTACAAAACAAAACTCTTTTCATGTATTCTGTGTCTTTGTGTTTTTTTTTCGCATCTGTAAACATTTATTCCTTTTTCCAAATTAGGTTTTGTCAGATTTATATCACTTAAATTTTGTTCCCAGCATTGCACAGTTCATTTGAGGTCAGTCTTTCCAGAATGTTTAAAACGAGTTCTTTCTGTGAAGAATCTTTGATTCTCTGATGATTCTCCTCAGATAAGTTCTGCTCGGCGACACAGTTTGAGTGTGGGAATCATCACTGTATTTCCAGCAGCTGGGTGTGTGACGGGGCAGACGACTGTGGAGACGGAACAGATGAGGACAGCAGATGCAGTGAGTGCTGATCCTTAAAACAGCATGAAATAGGACTTTTCAAAGTGTGACCAATAGCGTGGCTGATGAATCAGAGAATAAGACCGCATCATAGATGAGAGTGATTTTTTCTCTGTGTTGCTGAATGGTGTGTGTTTTTAACTCAGAGAATAAGACGTGCAGTGCGGACGCGTTCCACTGTCCCGACTCACACAAGTGTGTCCCGCAGCTCTGGGTGTGTGACGGAGACAGAGACTGTCCAGACGGAGCCGACGAGAGCGTGAAGGCCGGCTGTGGTGAGCCATCGCAAACATCATTCGCTTTGGTGCAAATACTGCATGAATCACTCACGTTCGAGTGTACTGTTGTTTCTTTTTCACTCAGTGTTCAATAACACGTGTAAAGCGGGAGAGTTCATGTGCCAGAACAGACAGTGCATCCCCAAACACTTCATGTGTGACCACGACAACGACTGCGGCGACGGCTCCGACGAGTCTCTGGAGTGCGGTGTGTTCCTGATTATATCAAACCAAGATGATTATCTCATAATTACCATCATTAATGAGATGAATTATGGCTAATGATTTGTAAGATGTCAATACTTGACTCTCACTTGAATTAAATCAAGGCCTTAGTCATACAAAACAAATGTAAGTACAGAAGAATTCGAATTGTTCGAAGTATTTGTATTCAGAAATTGTCTCTCTGATTACACACGAATAAATGAGTTATCATTTGAAAATATTGCAAATTTACATACCAATTAATTCTTTAAAAATCCTACAATGTGATTTTCTGGATTTTTTCTTCTCATTTTGTCTCTCATAGTTGAGGTATACCTATGATGAAAATTACAGGCCTCTCTCATCTTTTTAAGTGGGAGAACTTGCACAATTGGTGGCTGACTAAATACTTTTTTTCCCCACTGTATATTGATATGTTTACACTAGACATTCATATGGAATAAGATAGAAAAAAATAGAATACTAAAAAATAAAAATAATAAAACTATTTTATTTCAACATTTATAAGCCGCATTTCTGTTTTTTAGTTAAAGTTGAAGTACTAAAATAAGTATAAGTGATAAAGAACAATGAATAACTACCATACTAAAAAGACTTATTAAAAATAATAATAAAATTAAAAATGACAAAAAAAACTAAGTTACTAAAACGTTAACTAAAATTAAAGTGAACAGAAAACAGAAAATAAAAATCTTCAAAATATTAACAAAAACTATAATAGTCAAATCAAGTCAAATCACCTTTATTTATATAGTGCTTTACACAATCCAGATTGTGTCAATGCCGTTTTACAGTATTAAACAGGAAAAGAGTGTGACGATATTGCAAGAGGAAGACAGTAAACACTCAGGGAAGCTATTTTACTAATTTGGTAGCCATAACTACACAAGTGCATGTTTTTAATCATTTCGACTTCACTGTATTATTTGTGCTCATGGGTCTGTGTTTGTCTTTGCAGAGTATCCTGCATGCAAGGCCAATGAGTTCCGCTGTGATAACGGCCGCTGTCTGATCCAGAAATCCTGGGAGTGTGACGGAGAGTTCGACTGTCACGATCACTCAGACGAAGCTCCCAAAAATCCTCAATGCAACGGGCCTGGTATGAACTAAATGCTAATCCGGCTGGATATCTCTGGCCCCGTTCCAAATGACAACGCTCACCGTCTGTTCAACAGTCTGTGTGGCTTCATGCTACCAAAGTGTGAAGGAGCACTGAAAGAACTGAGAGCGTTTGGGATAAACTAGTGCTGAGTCACAGAACAATGCAGACAAACTGATAAATCATACTAAATCAAACTGAGTATCTTTGAAAAGGCTTTGGTTACAGTAGAAACCTGCAGGGTCGGGCGAATCTGTGCATGCATTTAACGGTTCTCTCTCTCTTTTTCTTTCAAGCAGAAAAGAAATGTAATGTCACGGCGTATGCATGTGGGAACGGTAAATGCATCAGTGAGACGTTACTGTGCAATCACGATGACGACTGTGGCGACGGTACAGATGAGCTGAACTGCTTCATTAATGAATGCCTGAACAGTAAACTGAGCGGCTGCTCTCAGCAGTGTGAGGACCTGAAGATCGGATTCAAGGTAAACATTTCTAGATCGTGTTTCATGGTTTACAGCATACTTTTATTTATTTAATTGTTCTTTACTTTCACAATTCATCATTTAGTAAATTTGCCCATTGCACTGCCAGTATTTTTTTCTCTTAATTAGTATTTTGTTAATTTAACTCTTTCCCCACCTGCGTTTGAAAAACAAAGAAAAGAAAAGAAAAAAGCCAACACTAGTTTTTCACAAAACTTCACAGTCCTAACCCACTTGCTGGGTCGACATTTCATTGGGTAACATCAGCCAGTTTTGATTTATATGCTGTTTAATGTTTGTGCTATTTCACATATGCGTTTGCTTGCTTTGCCTTATTTTGATCCCGAGATTCAGTACTCTTTCAGAAGATGTGTTATAGCGCGTACAACAGTGAAAACAGGAAAATTCCACCAATGGCAGGGAAAGAGTTAAACATCCCTAATACAACATAAATTGTTGCCATGATGGATGTAAACTATAGTCATGCACAATATGTGCTTTATAAGTACTAATAAACAGCCAACATGTTAATAATAAGTCATGCTAATAAACTAATAGTGAGAATTGGTCCCTATACTAAAGTGTTACTAAAGTTTGGGTACGAGACAAGGGTAAAACGATGAAGTCTACAAATAAAAAGCATTTATAAAGTAGCAAAAAGTGCAATAAATAATATAAATCAATTTATAAATCAGCCAAAAGAGTGTATGAAGTAAAATATGCATCCATTTGTGCCTTTGTTGTTTCCTTCATATAAATGCAATCAACACTGCGATCATAAAATGAACAGGTATCCCTCACACTGGCACAATCCGTTGCTTACCGTTCTTGTGTGTTCCTCTCTCCAGTGCAGATGCCACGCTGGCTTTAGACTGAAGGATGATGGGAAGACGTGTGTAGATGTGGACGAGTGCTCCACCACGTATCCCTGCACACAGCACTGCATCAACACACACGGCAGCTTCCGCTGTGTGTGTGTGGACGGCTTCCAGCTCAGCCCCTCCGACCCCACCGTCTGCAAGTCCACCTCCGGTACGAGGCAGATGGCCAATCTGTTCAGGACATTTGTGACCGTGTTGCATTGTAGGGCAGTTAAGCTAGATACTTGGCTTGAGGGCCGCTTGTGAAAATACGAATAGTACACTTTCCAAAGGAATTCAGCACTGGATTTGCCATTTGCAATGTAGATCAATCATTATAAAAGATTTGAGTTACAAATAGTTCACTTTTTAAATAAGTGTCATGTTATGGCGTTTCTTTTCACTGTCATTTCCTCTCGCTTCGTTGTATAGACGAGGAGCCGTTCCTCATCTTTGCTAACCGGTATTACCTGAGAAAGCTCAGCTTGGACGGCTCAAACTACACACTTTTAAAGCAGGTATGATTTGACACCAGTTGTTCAAACATTTCGTTCCAGTTGTTTGCCTGGTTCCTCATGAATGCTCTTCATTCGCAGGGTCTGAACAATGCTGTTGCGTTGGACTACGACTACAGGCAGCAGATGATCTATTGGACGGATGTGACGACTCAAGGCAGTATGATTCGGCGCATGCACATCAACGGCAGCGACGTTCGGGTGATTTGCATGCAACTGCATTGTGTTTTGAATATTAAAGGGATAGTTCATCCCAAAATGAACTTTTGTTGAAAATGTACTCACCCTCAGGCCATCCAAGATGTACTCTAGATGAGTTTCTTTCTTCATGGGCACAGATTTGGAGAAATGTAGCATTGCATCAGTGTCTCAGCAATGGATGCTCTGCAGTGAATGGGTGCCGTCAGAATGAGAGTCCAGACAGCTGATAAAAACACTACAATAATCCACACCACTCCAGTCCATCAGTTAACATCTTGAGAAGACTAAATCTGTGTTTGCAAGAAAGTCCTCTATCCATAATATCGTAATCTCGCCTGAATCAGGAGAGAAATCTGCACAGATCAAGCACTGTTTACAAGCCAAAATGGTCCAAAACAGTCTAGGTGTGTGGTTTTTGATGTGAAAGACAACAGGAGATGGACTTTTTCACTGGAGGAAGCGTTATTATGCATTATTGAGTCGTAGTTTGGCCAAAATCAACAAGTAAAAATCAAAAAGCCAAGTAATGGTTTTGTTTCTTACAGACACGCAGCAGACGTTAACTGATTGTTATGATGATTTTATCAGCTGCTCGGACTCTCATTCTCATTTAATAATGAAATCTTTTCTGAAGCTGGACATTGGTTTGACTCTGCTGCAGGTTCTCCATCGCACGTCTCTCAGCAACCCTGATGGTCTGGCTGTTGATTGGGTCGGGGGTAACCTGTATTGGTGTGATAAGGGGCGGGACACTATTGAGGTGTCGAAGCTGAACGGAGCATACAGGACGGTGCTGGTCAACTCGGGACTGAGGGAACCCAGAGCCATAGCTGTGGACATCCGCAATGGGTAAACACTGAAAATGCCTTAATTGCTTTCTTTTTCCATTATTTTGTTCCCATCTTCCTGTTTGTGCTAATAAGGATCATAAAGTGTAAGTGTCTGTCTTTGTCAGGTACCTGTACTGGTCTGACTGGGGTGATAATCCTCATATCGGCCGCATTGGGATGGACGGCAGCAACAGAAGTGTGATCATACAGGACAAGATAACATGGCCCAACGGTCTCACTCTGGACTTCATCAATGATCGCATCTACTGGGCAGACGCCAAAGAGGACTACATCGAGTTTGCCAGCTTAGACGGATCCAACAGACATACAGGTGAAGACCAAAACTCAAATATAAGCTATTGTGTGAAGGGGTCACAGGTTATCAGAGCTGTATTTTTCGACTTATTTTTTTTTGTATTCAGTACAGTAGCAGGACTGACTATAAACTGTAGTTAAGAGGATAGTATAAAATAACTTACACTTTAGCAATTTTAACATATCTTCCATATGACTAGTTGAAAAATAAGCAAAGCAAGCTTTTCATGACTGGATAACTAACTGTTATACAAATATATACTAATGATTTTTAAGAAGTCTCTGATGCTTACCAAGACTTCACTTATTTGATAAAAATACAATATTAATAGTAATATTTTGAATTATTATTATTATTATAATTGACCTGTTTTCCATTTTAATATTTTTTTTTCAATATAATTTATTCCTGTGATGTGCAGCTGTATTTTCAGCATCATTACTCCAGTCTTCAGTGTCACATGATCTTCAGAAATCATTCTAATATGCTGATTTGCTGCTCAAGAAACATTTCTGATTATTAGCAATGTTGAAAACAGATGTGGTGCTTCATATTTTTTGTGGAAACTGTGATACATTTTCAGGATTTTTTGGATGAATAGAAAGTTCAAAAGACCTAAATTTGTTTGAAATATTAATAGTTTGTAACATTATAAATGTCTTAACTGTGATTTTTGCTGAGTTTAATGCATCATTGCTAATTCTCGTTTACCCCAAACTTTTGAACAGTATATAATAATTAGTGCTGTCAAACGATTAATCGCATCCAAATTAAGTTTTTTGTTTACATAATATGTGTGTGTACTGTGTATATTTATTATGTACTGTATATATAAAAACACACACACAGTATATATTTGGAAAATATTTACATGTTTATATTATACATTTACAATTAATATATTTAATATATAAACATAACATATTTTTCTTAAATATATAATTGCACGTGTGTTTATTTATATATACATAATAAATATACACAGTACACATACATATATTATGTACACAAAAACTTTTATTTGGGATGCAATTAATCGCTATTAATCGTTTGACAGCACTAAAAAATAATATATTATGTGATAATATAAAGTCTTTTAATTCTAAAGTCTGAATTAAAATAATAATTGTAAAATTCATACAAAGTGCTTCAGTGAACTTTTAATGTGCTTCTGAGGAGAATATTTTATCTTCGATTATGCGAGGTCAATGTGTGCTGTTTGTGTAGTAAATAATCCCTGTGTTTGTGCTGCAGTTTTGACTCAGGACATCCCACACATATTCGCCATGACTCTTTTTGAGGAGTACATCTACTGGACCGACTGGGAGACCAAGTCTATCAACAGAGCTCATAAAACACTGGGCACCAACAAGACCATGCTGATCAGCACCTTACACAGACCCATGGACGTCCACATCTACCACCCCTGCAGACAGCCAGAGGGTCAGGACACCACTGTCAAAGACACGCTTCACTTACTGAGGCCAGCTTAGATGATCTTGTTTTATGCCTTGATGTTATAGGTTTAATGTAGTGCTCTCTTGTCTCCCGCTGTAGTCACAAATCACCCGTGCCAGACAGACAATGGCGGCTGCAGTAACTTGTGTCTGCTCTCTCCGGGCGGAGGTAATAAATGTGCCTGTCCCACGAACTTCTACCTGGCCGCTGATGGGAAGCAGTGCATGTCCAACTGCACCGCCAGCCAGGTGAGTGCGTGATACTTGACCCAGATCATGACCTTAGACATAAAGGGTTAGTTCACCCAAAAATGAAAATTCTGCCATTAATTACTCACCCTCGTGTCGTTCCAAACCCATAAGACCTTCGTTCATCTTTGGAACACAATTTAAGATATTTTTGATGAAATCTGAGGGCTCTCTGACCCTCCCATAGACAGCAAGGTAACTACCACGTTCAAGGTCCAGAAAAGTACCAAGATGATCGACAAAGTAGTCCGTGTGACATCAGTGGTTCAACTGTAAAGTTACGAAGCTACTAGAATACTTTTTCGCGCGAAGAAAACAAAAATAACGACTTTATTCCACATTTTCGTCTCTACTGCGTCACTCTACATGCCGGATCTGGGTCAGCGCTGGTGCCGCCACATGATCTGTCGCTCATGGTACTGTCATGAACACGCGTCCACAAGTGACGAAGTAGAGACGAAAATGTGGAATAACGTCGTTATTCGAAGGTCTTACGGGTTTCGAACAACACAAGGGTGAGTAATTAATGACAGAATTTTAATTTTTGGGTGAACTAACCCTTTAAACCCAGTCTAAATCAGAATGACACGTACCACATGTTCCTCCACATCTCTCATCAGTTTGTCTGCAAGAACGACAAGTGTATCCCGTTCTGGTGGAAGTGTGACACCGAGGACGACTGTGGCGACCGATCCGACGAGCCTGCCGACTGCCGTGAGTGATGTGGATTGTAGGAGACACATTTTCTCCCTGTAGCATAACTAACAGATGTGTAATAAAAGCACATGTGTACATATTTCTTTCAACAGCTGAGTTTAAATGCAGACCAGGTCAGTTCCAGTGTGATACTGGGATCTGTACAAACCCAGCGTACATCTGTGACGGAGACAACGACTGCCAGGATAACTCTGACGAGGCCAACTGCGGTATGTTTCACCACACACCACCTCTGTTTTTCATCTGCGCAAAATGTCACAATGGATTTTTACTGTTACTTTACTGTACTTATGTAAATTTTTCAGATAGCTGTATTTTATCAGAATATTTTTATTTTGGAAAACCTTTACTTCACTATATTCCAAAACATAATATCACACTTTTTACTCCACTGAATTTCATAAAAACATATTGTTCCTTGTTATTTTGAACTGAAGAAATCGAGGCGTGATAGCGTTACTGATTCGTGAACAAGCTGCTTCTTTTCAGTTGAATCATTTATGATCTAATTGCAGCTGTTCTAACTATGTAACTAGATAATGTTAAAACAATGCAATTGAATGCCCATGCACAATCCTCTCTGCTATAGCAGTTCATATAATGATGTAATGAGATGTATAACTAGTATATTTTTCAAATCATTCTTCCTAAAATATTAACACATTTTGCCCTATGTGAAGTTTTTTGCACAGTAAGTTGCTTATGCATATTGAAATGTAATGTTATAATAGCGTATGTTTTGGTAATAAAATAAAACTTGCTTGCTTATTTGCAGATACATACAAATTTAATCTCTTTTAATCTCAAATTTAAGTAAAACTGCAAAATAAATAAACATTAACAACCGTACATTTTACTTTCTAAACTTGACCTTACTTTAAAAAGCAAGTACTTACTCACGTAAAATTGAAAATGAGTACTTATTGGGTATTATTTTGTGAGGGTACCTGCACTTAAAGTACTTGATATGTATACTTTGTCTACCAGACTTCAGATATCCAGAACAGTATTTACAGAATATGCACAAACAGTATTAATACTGTGCTAGTGAACTATAGGATTATTCAGAATATTGTTAATAGTAAGTACAAGTAGTGTATTTATTTAACACTAAAGTGTTTTTTAGAATATTGCTATTGCTGCTGTTTTTAAACAGCTTGACTTTGTGCCTATAAGTACACTGTATTATATGTGGTAAGATTACGGTAACACATTACCACTTGAGAATAATTGTTTTAATAAGTAATGTTATATTTTCCCATCTTTAACTGAAAATATGACTTTCCCTCAGCTGCCTCCAATAGGACAATAAGCATATCACCTTTGTTACTCCACTAATGTGTTTGTGGGAAGTCGTGGCCTAATGTCGGCCACGAACATTGGTTGCGGGTTCGAGTCTCGTACCGGCAGGAATTGTAGGTGGGGGGAGTGAATGTACAGCGCTCTCTCCCACCTTCAATACCACGACTGAGGTGCCCTTGAGCAAGGCACCGAACCCCCAACTTCTCCCTGGGCGCCGCAGCATAAATGGCTGCCCACTGCTCCGGGTGTGTGTGTTCACTGCTGTGTGTGTGCACTTTGGCTGGGTAAATGCAGAGCACTAATTCCGAGTATGGGTCACCATACTTGGCCACATGTCATGTCACTTTTTAATGTGTTTGTATGTGTGATTTGCAGATATTCACGTGTGTTTGCCCAGTCAGTTTAAATGCACCAATCCCAGTCGCTGTATTCCTGGAATATTCCGCTGTAATGGCCAAGACAACTGCGGGGAAGGAGAGGATGAGAAAGACTGCCGTGAGTTTCATTATAAGACAATACGACATAAAAATGAGAAGAAGAAAAAAGCCTTTTGTGTTTTAATAATCTCACAAAGCCATGCTGTGACTTTGATTTTAATGTGATCAGTTGTATCGCCACTCACACATACATACATCACAGACCTTCTATTATTGTCCTCTGGAAGACAGAAGAACGTGTAGAGTGTTTGCTCATCTGAAAGATCATTGGGGTCAGTGAGATATTTAATTATTTTGTATTACTTTTTTAAGAAATTAATGCTTTTATCCAGCAAGGATGCATTAAATGGGTCAAAAGTGACAACAAATGCATTCATAATATTACAAAATATTTATGTTCTGTAATGAGCTGAATCAGGTATGTTTGATTAGGGAGATATCCAAAGGGGCTCCAGGACTAGGATTGATTAAAAAATGTTTCTTTGAACTACGGATCGCAAGGAAATGTGATTAGAATCTAAGAGCAGCTTTAATATAAGCACATGAAGATGATACAGGAGTGAAGCTAGTTAATAACTTGAAGAAAAAAAACAAGGAAGCCAACAGCAAATGCAAAACATCAACACAATATCAGACAAATGACTAAGGAAACAAAGGGTTATATATATACAAAGGGAATAACGAGGAGCTACACAAAAAAACAGGTGTGAACGATCAGAAACTATGGAAATATAATCAGTCACTCTGGAAACTAAAAGGAACAGGAATTAAACACTGAAAATCTTGAACACAAACACCAAAACGAATCAAAATATACTTCAAAGTAAAAGTCCTTAGAAACATAGAACACAGCTAGCACAATAAAAAAGAATGTAATGTCCAGGTCACAGGAAGGTAATGGTGGTTCCCAGGTGAGAAAGGACCACTGAACGGGAGAGGTCTGAGGCAGAGCCAGGGGATTTAGAGGAGCATGGCAAGGTAGAGCCAGTGTGACTGAGGACAGTGATGGAGCCAGAAGACGGGGGTCACAGCGCTGAAGCTGGAGGACTGGGGAGAACCGGCAGAGCAGCAGCAATTGGAGGAGTCAGGGTAGCTGATGTAGAAGATCCTGATTGAGGAGGAAGGGCTAGGGAGATGGATGAGACTGGTGAGTCATTTGTGCTGGATGGAACCAGTGGAGGGAAGCCAAGGAAATGGCTAGAACCAAGTTGAACTGAAGTCAACCAAGCTGGACGTGACTGGCAAAAAAATGTGGGGAGGCAGCCTCAGTGGCTGGGACAAAGAGAGTAATTAACTGCTCAGATAGGACTCTTGGGGTGAAAAAGAGTCTGCAGTTTTGACCTGACTGCAAGTGTTGGTTCTGGGATGGACAGGGAGGTCAGTGCTGACTCCAGGATGGACAGGGCGGTGGGAGATGGCTCTGGGACAAACCATCCTTGTGTTCTGTCTGTGCAAAAATAAATACATAATCAATTTAAAGACTGGAGCAGATCCTTGTATGAGCTCTGGGGCTGAAGCAGACTCTGGGGCTGGAGTGGATATTAGGAGGTTGGAATTCTCCTCCACCTCACCCAGCTCTACAAAGTCACAAAATATCTCTCAAAGACATAGAAAAAGGAACTTAGGGACCTGTCCAGTAAGTGCACAGAGTTTGCCAGATGGAAGAACTCACAGGTGTGGTTTTCAGGGTATTGAGCATCCTAGGTGAGGAGGAGGAGTTGTTCCACTGCTAGATCCATAATATTTGGTCCAAACTTCTGTCATGGTTTCCAAGCAGACATGGTTTGGATCTAAGTGCAGTTTTAATGTCAACATGTGAAGATAATACAGGAGTGAATTTGCAACAGTCTATATAGGAAATAACAAGAGGCTAAACAAGAAAACAAATGTGTACCATGGAAACCTAATCAACAGCTCTGGAAACTAAGAGGAACAGAAACTAAACATGGGAAAACTTGAACACAAATACCAAAAATAGTGGAGAGCACTTTAGGTATGTAACCGTGCCTCGGTTTCAGGACGACTTTAGAGTCATTATGCCCGAATTCCAGACAGGCAGGTTTAATTCAGAGCGCCTGCAGGTCTCCTATTCGCTTTACTGATGCTAGTGCACGAGCTAATGGCGACGAAGCCCGCCAGAATGGGTGGGGCATCTGGCTATATAAGCGGGCACTCACCACAGGATTCTCAGGTTTACTTCGACCTGAAGCGACAACTGAGTCGTGCAGCTACATAGCACGGCTAGCAACGCAGTACATGTTCCCGTATCTCAGGGAACCGAGGTTACGTTAGTAACCGAGTACGTTCCCTTTTGATACTTCACTCGTACTGCGTCTTGCTTAAGACGCATATGGGAACAGTCCAATCACACCGTGCTAATGTAGTGGAACGACTAAAGGTATAACTTCCATAAGCAACCAATGCTTATAGAGAAGTCAACAATAACCTAAGGCTAAGCGGGCTGAGCTTTCTAGGTCACACCCGGCCTGGTTAATCGTTCCAGAGTATACCCGTAACTTCGACACCCAGGGGTCGAGAGCTAACAGGTGAACAATACCAGAGAACTTGGGCGCGGCACGGCCAAGGGCTCTGTCATGTCTGTTTACGCAGCGCAGGCCATTTCAAGCAGAAAGGACTTCCAGGTTATAAAACCTCACAAATGTGGACGGCGAGACCCAGCCGGCCGCCTCACAAACATCCGCAATGGACACACCACTGAACCATGCCCACGACGAGGCGATGCCTCTAGTCGAGTGGGCCCGTACTCAAATGGGGCATTGGAGGCCCAAGGAAGAGTATGCTAGCGAGATGGCGTCTACTATCCATCTAGAGAGTCTTTGCTTCATAACCGGAAACCCCTTGGTGCGGTTACCGAAGCTGACAAAGAGTTGTTCCGATCGCCTATAGGGAGCGGAACGCTCAATATAGATTCTCAACGCCTTAACGGGGCAGAGCAGAGATAGCTCTCTGTCCTCTTCAGTTGGTGGAAGCGCGGAGAGCGTAATGACCTGTGCTCTGAACGGAGTGGAGAGGACTTTAGGTATGTAACCGTGCCTCGGTTTCAGGACGACTTTAGAGTCGTTATGCCCGAATTCCAGACAGGCAGGTTTAATTCAGAGCGCCTGCAGGTCTCCTATTCGCTTTACTGATGCTAGTGCTAGAAGCAGAGCAGTCTTTAACGATAGCGACCTAATGTTGGCGGCTTGTAGCGGCTCGAAAGC